ACAGGACAGTACAGTCTGTTAATTAAGGGCACACTGACAAACTGGTCGCAAAATAGGGGGGGGAGGGGTTGTGTGTGTGCTGATAACTCTTTACACATAACTAATTAGATAAAGGAAAGAGAGAGAGAGGGAGAAACCCAGGTGAGTAATGAAGTGAGTCTGTGAGAGAGTGAAAGTGTGCATTGTGCGTAAGTTGGTGTATTTCTTCGCAAAAGTCGCTTTTGTCACGCCAACTCAACACGAAATATTGGGTGGTTGGCGGGTGCTCTTGTGTGGTTTGCTCCTTCTTTCCTATCAAACATCTATCGTCTTTATCTCCTCCCCTCCTTCTTTTTTATAGTTGTTACTCTCTGGTAACATCTCTGATCTTCTGCACTTATATGACCTTATTGTGTTGCAAGTGCCGTAAAACTCTAACTAAAACTAAATACCAACGCTGCATCTCAAGGACATTAACGTGTTTGGGAGTGGGATTCTAGCTTCTTCTCCTTTCTCTGTCGCAGGTGTTCAGTCCTATCCTCCAGTATCTGTGTCGCTACGTTGCCACCTTGGGCCTCAACAACCGAGTGTATCAGCAGCCCCTGTCGATCCTGATGGGCCTCACCTCCATCAAGATCAACAACCAACGGCCCATCTGTAACCTGGTGAGTAGATCTGCGCGCTGCACATGGGTTATCCAGCGTGTTGTGTGTATGTGTGTGTGTGTGTGTGGATTTAACAGTTTTAACAGTTTAAGATAAGGTAAGATAATACCTCATTGTCTCAGAGGGAAATTTTTTTTTGGGCTGTACATGACCGTTAAAAACACATGTAGGTACACATAGAAATTTAATTATATATCACTCTCATTGAAATTCAATATGAAAAGAAAAGTAAAGCTGACAATAATGTACAAATATCACACCAGCTGCATCATTCAAACACTTGCAGGAATTTTCCACTAGACTTATAAAGTTGTATAGATACATATAATATATATTTGTAACCACAATACACATTTATGTTTATTCCGACAGTAGCCTAGATGGTAAGAAACTTTTTAAAATTGTTTCTTCCTTTGATAATATTATAGATTGTGAAGCGCATAGAGCTTGCTGTTTAGCGGGGATTTGCGCTATACAAATGCTATCTATCTATCTTTGTTTTTAGTGTTACGTATCTGCCTGCCGCTGCGTGATCTTATGATTTGTGTGGAAAGGGGGTGTGATGGGTTGTTTATAACGCTAATGTATTATGATAATGCTGTCAAATCCACACTCAATACTCTGGATAACTCAGTTTAAACAGTTTTTGTCTCCCAAAAAATTTATTGGAGTGGCTGTTTGGTGGATGCTCTGGTGTCTTTTGTTCCTTCTTCCCTATTTAACATATGTTGTCCTTTTCTCTCCTCCATGGGTGGTTTTCTCCTTCTTTCCTATCAATCATCTATCGTCCTTATCTTCCCTAATTTTTTGGTGTTTGTTACTCTCCAGTGACACCTCTAATCTTCAGCACTTATTTTGACCTTATTATGTTATAAGAGCCACAAAACATTACTCATCCGGTGCCTTGCCGACTGGCGTGGGCGATCATGGACCACCACTTCTCTGTCATGCACTGCATTGATTTTGTCTGTCGATCTTGATGTTGTCAACTTGTCCAGTATCTTTCCCCTCTGTCTGCCTCTGCCTCTCTTTCCATCAAACATTACTAATTTACTTTAAAAAAACATTTTTTTTCCCTCACTTCCATCTTTTCTTTGTATGCTACACTGTAGTAGTAACACCTCTAGTCTGTGACTTATATGTGTCCTAATTGCGTTGCAAGTGCTGTAAAACTAACCAAAGCTTAAAAACATCAAAAATAAACCCAAACAAAACGTGTTTCCCCCCCCCCCCAGATGACATCCCAGCCCAACTGGATGCCAGAGCCCATCAGCCAGGCTGACGGCATGGAGATGGAGAAACTGACACTGCTGGGGCCCATCTTGGGACTGTCCGTCTTTGCCGAGGATGATGTGAGTGAGATATGTGCTTGATGCAGGCTGGCCAACCGTTTTTTTTTTCCTTTTTTTTCCCCCACCCATTTTACTTTTTTTTGCTTTTTCCTTTACAAAAAAACCCGAACAAAATTTAGATCATTTTGAAGGCGGGCGTAGAACACCTATTTGTGTCGCAGCTGTAAAACTCTTACCATGAAACAAAGTGACTGTGGAAATATATCCGATGTGCCCTCCTTAACTGCCTCTAGTGCTGTGTACATACTAGAATGAGTGCATTGAACAAAAGATCTACTTTATTATTATTATTACTACATTGCAACGAGTACTCAAGCTGCAACTTCACTGGTGAGCTGTTTTTGACCGTCCGGTCTATACAAACTAGGCTCTCGACTCTTTATTGCTGAAGCAGACACATGTGTTCGGCCAGCTAGTAGCAGACCAATGGCATTGTTGCGACACATTTCGAACCATCATACACAATTTAAATACCTGAATTTGTATATTTTGTAGCATGCATATTTTTGTCTGCATCATTCAAGTTTCAGGCAAAGAAAACAGAATGGAAAAATATACATGAATATTGAAGTTATGCCTCTATTTTTAAAGTACTTGAAACCGACGTGTTTTCAAAGAGTGAATTAGAGCTAATTTATTGCGTGTCTTCTCTCCCCACCAGGTGAAAGTGGTGGAAGAATACTTCACAGACCACCACATGCCTCAGGACCACGCCTGGGGCATCTATAAGACACTCATGGCTAGTCTTGAGGATGTGCGGGTAAGTTAATGTCCATCGACCTTATCTCTGCTCTTCCTTTTCTTTGTATGTATCGTCTTTATCTCTGCTCCTTCTTTTCTATGTTTGTTATTCTCTTGTAACACCTCTAATCTGCGACACTTAAATGACCTTATTGTGTTGCAAGTGCAGTAAAACGCTCTCATAACACCTCTAATTTTTTTGCAGCTATATATGACAGTTGTGTTGCAGGCACTGTAAAACTCTCACTAAAACAAAACATTCCTAACAAACGGCTAACTTATCGACCTTATCTCTCCTCCTCCTTTTCTTTGTATGGTACTCTCTAGTAACATGTCTAGTCTCTTCTGCGGCAGGTTGTTGGAGGGCTCCACTGGTAGGTCCTACTTCTTTACTTTCCCCTCAGTTGTTTTTGTCTGTCTTACTTTTTCCCAGCACTAAATGACCATTGTTGTGTCGATATGCTTCTCTTTACGCAAACGAACAAACAATAATCTTCAGCACTTATGTGGGTGTTTGGCGGGTCTAGTGTGGTTTGCTCCTTCTTTCCTATCAAACTACTATCGTCTTTATCTCCTTGTGACAACTCTAATCTTCGGCACTTATACGACCTTATTGTATTGCAAGTGCCGAAAGACTTATTAAAACTTAACTCGGCACTTATATGACCTATTTATGTTGCAAGTGCGGTAAAACGCTTACTCAAATCTAAATTAAAAAACAGAGAGACTGACCTTGATTGGTCGTTTTGTACAATGTATCTTGTTTTTCTGTACCCTCTTCCCACAGTGGGTGGTTGGCTGGTGCTCTGGTGTGGTTTGCTTCTTCTTTCCTATCAAACGTCTATCGTCATTATCTCCCCTTCTTCTTTTTTATGTTTGTTACTCTCTTGTAACACCTCTAATCTTCTGGCGCTCATATGACCTTATGCAATTGCGAGCGCCGTAAAAGTGTTTAAAACTAAACTCAGCTCTTATATAACCCATTTATGTTGCAAGTGCGGTAAAACGCGAACTCAAATCTCCATTAAAAACGGAGAGACTGACATTGATTGGTTGTTCTGTATAATGTATCTTGTTTTTGTCTGTACCCTCTTCCCACAGACACACTGCCTCGGAGTGCTGCACAATCTGTTTGTCAATTCGTCCACGAGGGAAGCCACGCTCACCTTCATCGCCAAAGTCCTGGAGAGAAATGCCAAAAGATCTCAGATTCAGGTACCGGTCTACAGAGAGTGGTTAAGACAGTGCAGTATTGATTTTACACACACACACACACACGTATATATATATATATATATACATGTATATATATATATATATATATATATATATATATATATATATATATATATATGTGTGTGTGTGAGGCAGTGTTGTGAAATCAGTCGCTTGTCAAAATACAGTAATCGGAGAAACGGGCATTTTTCCGCCAGTTTAGACATTTTTATCGAATTTTTATTTTTGGCTCAACCTCTTTAATGTCCATATAAACACACCTTTTCGTGTGAATTTTACAGAAAAATATTAATGAAAGACACAAAATATGTCATTTTTCTGTTTGCAAGGACTCATTAGCTATTGGAGTTAACATATTTTGGTGGCCATTTTCTCATTATTTTCACCACTGAAACCAAGCGACTCCACTCCCTTCAATTGCAAATATCTTGTGTCCCATTCAAGATAGATGGATACATATTTCATGAAAAGCAAGTCAAATAAATCAGCTTTCAGAGGATACCAATAACTCCACATGCACAAAAATTGATGAGTGCTTGATTCCACTGCGTCGCAGCATAAATAATTATTTCTTGGTAGTTTTTTTTCTTTTTTTTCTTTTTGTTGCTTGTTGTCACGGTTGCTAGATGATGTTGGCATTAGCTCAACATGAAACCAGGATCCACAATAGCTTGTGCGATTTAAAAAAAAAGTGTTTCTGTAACTTTCCCCCCTTTTTTTTTTACATTTTCCTTTAGTCGATGGTGTGTGGGGGTTTTAGGGGAAAGGCGTTGTTGAGTGTAGGTGGTTAAGTATTTCGCTGTGGCACATATGGGGAGACCTGAGTTTGATTCCTGAGTGGGGAGAAAATGTTTATCAAATATCTCGGTCTATCTACTGGGGGTTGGCATTTACAAGCAGGGTTGGAAGCCAGCTTCCTAAATGATTTAAATTGTGTTAATGAGGGCGCAAAAACATTTACACACACCAAAAAATATTGTTTTGGGGGGTGAGCTTTTTTTTCTTCAGTGTATTTAGAACAAATGTGGGTGGTTGGCGGGTATTTTGGTGTGGTTTGGGTGGGTACTTTGGGGTGTGGTTTGGGTGGGTACTTTGGGGTGTGGTTTGGGTGGGTACTTTGGGGTGTGGTTTGCTCCTT